GGAGACTCGCTCGCTAAAGTTGAAAGGGTTGGGCTGTGCGTCGATCTTGGCGAGGTCGTCCTTGGACACGACCTCCGGGTACAGGTCGTCCTGGGCGCCTCCCGCCTCGCTCTCCTCCCCGTCTGAGTCAGCTGGGGGGGGGGGTTAAGGGTAGAAACCATTATTATTATTATTATTATTATTATTATATTATTATTATTATTATTATTGTTATTATTATTATTATTATTATTATTATTAGTAGTAGTAGTAGTAGTATTACTTGCTGTGCCCGGCCACAGCAACCTTCCCCTGTCTCCCAATCCTCCCCCACCATTCCCCGCCTCACCTCCCTTCTCCCGTCCCCTTGTCCTCCCACCATTTCCTTCCTCCCTCGTCCTCCCCACCATTCCCTCCTCCCCCGCCCCTATGTCCTCCAAACCATTCCCCATTCCACCATCCCCCTCTTCCTCCCCTACCATAGCCCACTCCTCCATCATTCGTCCTCCCTACCGTTCATCCCCCCCCCCCTTCTCCATGTTCCCTCGTCCTTCCCACCATTCTCCATTACCCTGTTCCCTCGTCCTCCCCACCATCTCTAATCCCATCCCTTCATCCACCCCACCATTCCCCACTCCCTCGTTTGATGCATTCTCAAATGATCTGATGTTCCCATAAGGAAATTGGGAACATCAAATGACCTGATGTCCCCATCAGATTATTTGAAATATAAAAAAACAGTTAAAACACAAAATGAAAAAAAATATAAAAAATGATAAACTAAACACACAATATGAACGGTATGGTAAACAACACAGCTCAATTCCAATGCAATGTCACACAAAATATTTAAATCAAAATGAAAATAAATCAAAATCTATGAAAATTCAATTTGTCAATACAATCGGAAACATTGAAATGGAATCGTAATATATTTAGTATAGCATGTGTTGCTATTACCTGCAACAGATGGCGCTGTTTTTCCAAAAAAAGCATGTTTTTACCTGTCACTGGTGTGGAATCTTTATGGTAAGCATATAAAAACTCACGCGTATTTGATTGGAACATTGTGTCAAAATTTGAAAGCAATCGGTGAAGAATTTTCAGAAATTACAGTGTGTGTTGCTCTTTCGTCCAACAGATGGCACTGTTTTTAAAAAACATGTTTTTTCCTGTCATAGGTGAGTCAAGTATATAGTAGATAAACAAAAACGAAAAAGACGTGTTTTTCGAATGTAACATTGCGTCAAAATTTCAAAGCAACCGGTAAAGAGGTTTCGAAGATTTCCCTCAACTGAAAAACATGAGATGTCAGTTAAAAAAAAAAAAAAAAAGTTTTTTTCCTTCACAGATGTGTCATCTGTATGGTATGTATATAAAAACCCGCTTGGATGCGAATGGAATGTTGTATGAAAATTTCAAAGCAATCGGTGAATAGAACTTTCGGAGATTATCGATTTTGAACAAACGAACATTTACATTTTTATTTATAACTAGCCGTACCCGGCCACACGTTGCTGTGGCTCCGGAACGCATGTGAGTTACTGAGCCACAGCAACCTTCCCCGGTCTCCCAGTCCTCCCCACCATTCTCCCCTTCCCCGTCCCTTCGTCCTCGCCACCATTCACCCATACCCCGTTCCTTTGTCCTGCCCACCATTCTCCACACCACCGTTCCCTCGTCCTCCCTACCATTTACCCTCCCCCGTCCCCTAGTCCACCCCACAATTACCTCCTTCCCTGTCTCGTCGTCCTCCTCACCATCTCACACTCTGTCCCCTCGTTCCCCCCACCATTCCCCATTCCCTCATCCGATGCATTCTTAAATGATCTGATGTTCCCATCACTGAAATATAAGAAAAACAGTTTAAAAAAAACTAAATATAAAACTGTTAAAAAAAAAAAATAAACTATACTCACGGAATGAACGTTACGGTAAACAACACAGCTCAATTCCAATGCAATGTCACCCAAAATAATTAAATCAAAATGAAAATTAATCGAAATTTAAGAAAATTAAATTTGCCAATGCAATCGGAAACATTTGTAACCACCGGTCGGCCGAGCGGACAGCACGCTGGACTTGTGATCCTGTGGTCCTGGGTTCGATCCCAGGCGAGAAACAATGGGCAGAGTGTCTTTCACCCTATGCCCCTATTACCTAGCAGTAAAATAGGTACCTGGGTGTTAGTCAGCTGTCACGGGCTGCTTCTTGGGGGTGGAGGCCTGGTCGAGGACCGGGCCGCGGGGACACTAAAGCCCCGAAATCATCTCAAGATTAAAATGGAATCGTAACATATGTAGGATAGTGTGAGTTGCTCTTACGTGCAACAGATGGTGTTGTTTCTTAAAAAAAGAATGTTTATACCTGTCACAGGTGTGGCATCTATACTTGCACTTACAAAATGAACGGTAAACAAAACAGCTCAATTCCAATGCAATGTCACAAAATAATGAAATCAAATTGAAAATAAATCATAATCTATGAAAATTTAATTTATCAATGCAATCAGAAACACTGAAATGGAATCGTAACTTATTTAGAATAGTGTGTGTGTTGCTATTACGTGCAACAAATGGTGCTGTTTAAAAAAAAAACATGTTTTTACCTGTCACAAGTGTGGCATGTATGTAGTAGGTATATAAAAACATGCGCATATTCGAATGGAACGTTGTGTCAAAATTTCAAAGCAATCGGTGAAGAACTTTCGGAGATTACAGCGTGTGTTTCTCATACGTCCAACAGATGGCACTGTTTTCAAAAAAAGCATGTTTTTACCTGTCACAGATGAGGCATGTATATAGTAAGTATGTAAAAACACGCGCCTATTCGAAGGCTATGATGTGTCAAAATTTTAAAGCAATCGGTAAAGAGGTTTCGAAGATTTCCGTCACATGAAAAACACCATTTTTCAAAAAATCATGTTTTTTCCACTCACAGACGTGACATCTATATAGTATGTACATAAAAACCCGCTCGGATGAGAATGGAACGATACGTGAAAATTTTAAAGCAATCGGTGAAGAACTTAAAAAGATTAGCGATTATGAACAAACGAATATTTCCATTTTTATTTAAATAGATGATTATTATTATTATTATTATTATTATTTTTATTATTATTATTATTATTATTATTATTATTATTATTATTATTATTATTATTATCTACTAAGAGGAAGTTTACCCAGCGATGCTCGGGTCTCTTTTTCTTTGTTCACGTTACCCCTTATCGCTGGAACCCCCCCCCCCCCTTGTAACGCTGGGAGAGTGCACCCATGACTCACCAAAGGAACGTCCTGGTAAGATCAGCCTGTCACCTCAGATTCAGCTAGAGTTAATTGAAATATTTTCTGACTTCTGCCCCAGTCAGCGTGTTCCTGTTCATGAGTAATCCTGATGCTCTTGACAAACAACTTAATGGTGCAGCTTGAGAGTTGTTTTGTACCTCATGGGCAGCTGATGCCCTGATGTGCTGACCAAGTTGGCTGAACCAGCTGGGAACAGGTCCACACAAGACGTTCCCACAACAGTGTAACCCCCCCCCCCCCTTCTGACTCAGTGAGTCATGGGTGCACTCTCCCGAGGTTACACCCTTCTCAACCATTCTTGGCTACCCGAAGTAGTCTCGCTCTTCCACCTACCCCACTATCATCCCCCTCTTCCTCCTCCTTCTCTCCCACTCCCTTCCCCCACCCTCCCCCTCACTCCCTTCACCCACCCTCCCCCTCACTCCCTTCACCCACCCTCCCCCTCACTCCCTTCCCCCACCCTCCCACTCCCTCCCTTCCCCAACCCTCCCCCTCACTCCCTTCTCCTCCCCCTCCCCCTCACTCCCTTCTCCTCACCCTCCCCCTCACTCCCTTCCCCCCACCCTCCCGCTCCCTCCCTTCCCCCACCCTCCCCCTCACTCCCTTCTCCTCACCCTCCCCCTCACTCCCTTCCCCAATCATCCCTCTCATTTCCTCCCCTTGACCCACAGCAGAGTGAGGAAGAGACAGGAGCGCCCCACAGCAGAGTGAGGGAGAGACAGGAGCGTCCCACAGCAGAGTGAGGAAGAGACACAGGAGCGTCCCACAGCAGAGTGAGGAAGAGAGACAGGAGCGTCCCACAGCAGAGTGAGGAAGAGACACAGGAGCGTCCCACAGCAGAGTGAGGAAGAGACACAGGAGCGCCCCACAGCAGAGTGAGGAAGAGAGACACGAGCGTCCCACAGCAGAGTGAGGAAGAGACACAGGAGCGTCCCACAGCAGAGTGAGGAAGAGACACAGGAGCGTCCCACAGCAGAGTGAGGAAGAGAGACAGGAGCGTCCCACAGCAGAGTGAGGAAGAGACACAGGAGCGTCCCACAGTAGAGTGAGGAAGAGACACAGGAGCGTCCCACAGCAGAGTGAGGAAGAGAGACAGGAGCGTCCCACAGCAGAGTGAGGAAGAGACACAGGAGCGTCCCACAGCAGAGTGAGGAAGAGACACAGGAGCGTCCCACAGTAGAGTGAGGAAGAGACACAGGAGTGCCCCACAGCAGAGTGAGGAAGAGAGAGGAGGGCCCCCACAAGAGCAGGTACCTGGGGTGTCTAGGAGGGCTGGGGGGAGCAGGAGGGGTGCTGGGGGCGCCTCGCTCCTGTGGACGATGCGAGAGGGCAGGGTGAGGAGGTGGAGGAGCGGGTCGTCCACACACACGGCCTCGTACTCTCCTGTGCGGAAGTCGTACGACACCTCGTTGTTCTTCCTCCTGCTCGCCGAGGTCAGGCGGATGACCACGTCTGGCTCCCGGACACCCTGCTAGAGACACCACATCACGCTATAGTCAGCACATCATGCTATAGTCAGCACATCACGCTATAGTCAGCACATCACGCTATAGTTAGCACACCACGCTATAGTCAGCACATCACGCTATAGTCAGCACATCATGCTATAGTCAGCACATCACGCTATAGTTAGCACATCACGCTATAGTCAGCACATCACGGTATAGTCAGCACATCACGCTATAGTCAGCACATCACGCTATAGTCAGCACATCATGCTATAGTCAGCCCATCACACTACAGTCTACACATCACGCTATAGTCAGCACATCACGCTATAGTCAGCACATCATGCTATAGTCAGCACATCACGCTATAGTCAGCACATCACGCTATAGTCAGCACATCACACTATAGTCAGCACATCACGCTATAGTCAGCACATCATGCTATAGTTAGCACATCACGCTATAGTGAGCACATCACGCTATAGTCGGCACATCACACTATAGTCAGCACATCATGCTATAGTTAGCACATCACACTATAGTGAGTACATCACGCTATAGTGAGCACATCATGCTATAGTCAGCACATCACGCTATAGTCAACACATCACGCTATAGTCAGCACATCATGCTATAGTTAGCACATCACACTATAGTGAGTACATCACGCTATAGTCAGCACATCAAGCTATAGTCGGCACATCACGCTATAGTCAGCACATCACGCTATAGTCAGCACATCACGCTATAGTCAGCACATCACGCTATAGTCAGCACATTATGCTTGAGTTGCACACACCTAGAAAATTATTATTGTAGAAAACAGACTTCTAGAAAAAGCACACTGCTAGAGAGCACTCTGCTTGGGACAGAACACTGCTAGAGAGAGCACACTGCTAGAGAGAGAGGACATTGCTAGGGACAGAACACTGCTAGAGAGAGAGAGAACACTGCTAGGGACAGAACACTGCTAGAGAGAGAGAACACTGCTAGAGAGAGAACACTGCTAGAGAGAGCACACTGCTAGAGAGAGAACACTACAAGAGAGAGCACACTGCTGGGAGAGCACACTGCTGGAGAGAGCACACTGCTAGAGAGAGCACTCTGCTAGAGAGAGCACACTGCTAGAGAGAGCACTCTGCTAGAGAGAGCACACTGCTGGGAGAGCACACTGCTAGAGAGAGAACTCTGCTAGAGCGAGCACACTCCTAGAGAGAGCACTCTGCTACAGAGAGCACACTGCTAGAGAGAGCACACTGCTAGAGAGAACACACTGCTCGAGAGAGTACACTGCTAGAGAGAGCACACTGCTAGAGAGACCACTGCTAGGGACAGAACACTGCTAGGGAGAGAACACTGCTAGTGAGAGAACACTGCTAGAGAGAGCACTCTGCTAGAGAGAGAACACGGCTATAGAGAGAGAGCACACTGTTAGCGACAGAACACTGCTAGGGAGAGAACATTGTTAGAGAGAGCACTCTGCTAGAGAGAGAACACTGCTAGGGCGTGAACATTGCTAGAGAGAGAACACTGCTAGAGAGAGCACACTGCTAGAGAGAGCAAATTGCTAGAGAGAGAACACTGCTAGAGAGAGCACTCTGCTAGAGAGAGCACACTGCTAGGGCGTGAAAATTGCTAGTGAGAGAACACTGCTAGAGAGAGAACACTGTTAGAGACAGAGCACACTGCTAGAGAGTGAGCACACTGCTAGGGAGAGCACACTGCTAGAGAGAGCACATTGCTAGAGAGAGCACACTGCTAGAGAGAGAGCACACTGCTAGAGAGAGCACACTGCTAGAGAGAGCACACTGCTAGAGAGAGAACACTGCTAGAGAGAACACACTGCTAGAGAGAGCACACTGCTAGAGAGAGCACACTGCTAGAGAGAGCACACTGCTAGAGAGAACACACTGCTAGAGAGAGCACACTGCTAGAGAGAGCACACTGCTAGAGAGAACACACTGCTTGGGACAGAACACTGCTAGAGAGAGCACACTGCTTGGGACAGAACACTGCTAGAGAGAGCACACTGCTAGAGAGAGAGGACATTGCTAGGGACAGAACACTGCTAGAGAGAGAGAACACTGCTAGAGAGAGAACACTGCTAGAGAGAGCACACTGTTAGAGAGAGCACACTGCTAGAGAGAGAGGACATTGCTAGGGACAGAACACTGCTAGAGAGAGAGAACACTGCTAGAGAGAGAACACTGCTAGAGAGAGTACACTGCAAGAGATAGCACTGCTAGGGACAGAACACTGCTAGAGAGAGAACACTGCTAGAGAGAGAACACTGCTAGAGAGAGCACACTGTTAGAGAGAGCACTCTGTTAGAGAGAGCACACTTATAGAGAGAGCACACTGCTAGAGAGAGCACACTGTTAGAGAGAGCACACTGCTAGAGAGAGCACACAGCTAGAGAGAGCACTGCTAGGGACAGAACACTGCTAGGGAGAGAACATTGCTAGTGAGAGAACACTGCTAGAGAGAGTACACTGCAAGAGATAGCACTGCTAGGGACAGAACACTGCTAGGGAGAGAACATTGCTAGTGAGAGAACACTGCTAGAGAGAGTACACTGCTAGAGAGGGCACTCTGCTAGAGAGAGCACACTGCTAGAGAGAGCACACTGCTAGAGAGGGCACTCTGCTAGAGAGAGCACACTGCTAGAGAGAGTACACTGCTTGAGAGAGCACACTGCTAGGGACAGAACACTGCTAGAGAGGGCACTCTGCTAGAGAGAGCACACTGCTAGAGAGAACACACTGCTAGAGAGAACACACTGCTAGAGAGAGAACACTGCTAGAGAGGGCACTCTGCTAGAGAGAGCACACTGCTAGAGAGAACACACTGCTTGAGAGAGTACACTGCTAGGGACAGAACACTGCTAGAGAGGGCACTCTGCTAGAGAGAGCACACTGCTAGAGAGAACACACTGCTTGAGAGAGTACACTGCTAGAGAGGGCACTCTGCTAGAGAGAGCACACTGCTAGAGAGAACACACTGCTTGAGAGAGTACACTGCTAGAGAGGGCACTCTGCTAGAGAGAGCACACTGCTAGAGAGAGCACACTGCTAGAGAGAGCACACTGCTAGAAAGCTGCCACAGCTGAAAGACCACTCACCGAACCTGACCAGGCAATTGATCAATTGTTTCGGAAAGCAAAAATAATAGGAACATTAGGTAGCGTTAGTTCCCATGAAGAACAGGACCATTAGCAAGCTTTAGTTCCCATGAAGAACAGGACCATAGCTTTAGTTCCCATGAAGAACAGGAACATAGCTTTAGTTACCATGAAGAACAGGACCATTAGCAAGCTTTAGTTCCCATGAAGAACAGGACCATTAGCAAGCTTTAGTTCCCATGAAGAACAGGACCATTAGCAAGCTTTAGTTCCCATGAAGAACAGGACCATTAGCAAGCTTTAGTTCCCATGAAGAACAGGAAAATAGTTTCAGTTCCCATGAAGAAGGAAAATTAGCTTGTTTTTCCGATTTCATGTCGAAAGGGCTTGGAAAAGATGAGGGAAGAAGAGGGGTACTGAGATGAAATTCCTGGAGACGATTTGCATGGTGAACGAGGAGTGGCCTATCCACCATGGGATGACATGATGATTTGATCTTGGCTTGGAGCTTTGTTGTTAGTGTTGATCTTGAGTTTTTATTCTGTGGCAGGAGTCCAGTGGTGTGGCGGTTGTCCTGGTTTAGGTGAGGTGCTCTGTCTGGCTTGGAGGAGGCGTCTTCCCTAATGAGTTGGTGAACCTTTTCTTCTATTGACTGAGATATTATGTTCTATCATCGGTGTAGGGATGCTTGAATAGTCCACACGCCACCTCCGGCAGCGGAGGTCCGTCAGTTTCCTCAGAGAATGGGGGGTTGTGGCCTCCCAAAGTTGTATCTCGGATCGTAGTATTGTAACTTTAGGACAGAGAGGTCCATGAAGAGAATCATTGTGCCAGCGTGGACAAACATTCGGTGAGGGAATTTGTCGGGGTTGTTTTTGGCGATGATCCGGTTGCACTGGAGGGCCAGCTGTCGTCTTATACTGCAGTTATCCTTGAACGTTTCATCGTCGATGAAGATTCCATAACAGGGACGTGTTCTGACTCCCTCCCTTTCCTTGGTCTCTGGGTTTGATATAGTTGACGTCAAGGTCCTCGTTATCGGCTGGTTCAGTTACTGGCAGTGTTGCTGTTGCAGCAACATAGAAGGCGAACTTGTTTTGTCTTTGTAGTTTTTCAGCGCATGCCGGCAGAGGGAGTTGAGGTTGCCATTGGGTTATGGTCTGTCAGGTCTGGAGTGGAGTGGGTCAGTTCAGTGGCTGGTGCCTGAGTCGTTAGTGCTGCTACCACTGTTGTTGGCTCCGCCGCCAGGGGTGTCGTTTGTATTGTTGCTGCTGGTTCCGTTGTTGCTTCGGTTGCTGCTGGTGTTGGGATCTGTTCTGGATGAGTTGAAGTGGCTTGTGGAGTCTGTGGTAGGTCCAATGGGACCGACATCTTGGGGAGTACGTTTGAAGCGTACGTAGTCTGTTGAGTATCTTCACTTACTTGGCGATATCTGTTCCTGCCAACTTCTCTGCAAGGTGGATCAGTACAGGGACCAAGCTGGTGGCGATGAAGGGATGCTGATTGGTTAGTTGAAGTGCTGGTGGGCTGGGGTGCCATCGCCTGTGTGGTGTGGCCCAAGGGGAAGGGGGGGCTGGGCTGGTGTGGCTGTCGTCGTAGCAAAGGAATTGGGGAGCGTTGGTAACGTCGTGGCCTGGATGTTGAAGCTCACGGACTGATTGGTGGTTGTCCTGACGGATATCGACTTTTTAATTTCTTCAGTTCTTGTGAGGCAGTCCAAGGAGAAAGCGGTATGTGGTCCTCCACAGTTGGGTGGTCGACTGGCAGACCTTGTAGTGATGATCATCAGTGCAGATGCTGCACTTTCCTTCTGCGAGTTCACAGTTCCTTGTGCTGTGTTCGTACTTATAACACTTAAAGCATTGATGTAAGAAGAGGTATCATTCTTTTTTTACAGTGTTC